CTTAACTGTAGGTTCTTTGTTAATGAATTCTGTTTCCTCCGTTGTTTTGCTTTGTTCTGCAGCCGAATGATAACTCTTTTATCAAAATTATTTTTTTCCAAGAATAATACATCTGCAGACCATCTAGAGTTCTACAGAATAAAAGTATTAATCTGGCTGAAGTTGTTTAATCGATTTTGATGAGTCCAAAATATTTGCTTACAGTTAGGATGCCGATGTCCACACAAAAGGATTCTGCACCAACAGGAATAAGGTTGCTCAGGTGTTTATTAGAGCAAAAAAGGGCCAGCATCAGTAAAGCTTTTGAGTGTTGGTGCAGACAGAAGCAAAGGGGGCTGCTTTCCTTCTGAACAAGTCATTTAAAAAGGTTTGCATTAGCGTTAGCGGACCTGCTAACCGAATGGAAACCAGTATAGAATGAAAGCTTTGCCACTTACTGGCAGGGAGGAGTTAAACTCGTAGCTGTCACATTTAATTTTGGTGTTCTGTTTTTATTGAATCATTTATCAAATGATTGGGTCAATAGTGACATGATAAGGTGTTATACTGTCCTGGCCTTTCTGAATTGATCTACTGATACATATGGTATATCCACCGGTGGCACAGGCTGAAAAGATTGAGAACCACAGTGTTTACGAATAATCCCTGATCAGTATATTTATTTAGATATTACTCAAGAGGCATTTCTTGTTAAATGTTCCTCTGCTATAGTCTTGACTTAAATTATTTCTGTTTTTGTGTATTTTACAGATAGAGCAGCTGAAGCAGAAAGCCGATAAGAGAGTGAGAAGTGTAAGTACCTGCTAAATCCTTATTTTGTCGTTAATAGAGAGATTGGTGGAGTAAAATTATGTTTTTCAACATAATTAATTCACCATATACATTGAATCATAAAAACACCTCGATAAGCAAAGATTATCATTTTATTTTAATGTATATTTCAATTTCATTGGAAAGGTTTATTTATATTCTGTACGATTCAGCTGAACAATAAAAATATCGGTTTGGGGGATTTATGTAAAATAATAAAAAAAGAAAGGTGTAAGAAATATGGTTAATACAGATCTTCCATCTAAAACAAAAATATTCCACTACAACACAGAGTTTATATTAATAAACAGCTGAAAGACATGATCAGTGCGGTAAAATAATGTGCTATGTGTTTGCCTTGACCAGCAGGTCCAGTACCAGGTAGTGGAGGATTACAACGGAGCCTGCTGCCCTCTCACTAAGGGTTTGCAAACCTTTTTTAGAACCCCCTGTACCGAGGAGCCCAGGATTCCCCTCATTAAGGGGGAAATCATCCTGGCCACCCGTGGCACTAAGTATGATCATCTACATAGAAACACCCAATTATAGTGGGTAATCAATCCAGGAGACATGTTAATGTTTAGTTTTTTTTCTAGATGGTGGATGTATGGAGACAAAGTTCTGAGTGAGGGGGAAATGAGAGGTAGAGTAAAATCCCTGTTATAAATTCATCTTTCTATTTGATTTAAATCCTCCTTAACATGTTTTTCCTGCTTCCCCTTAGCTGGAGATCGCGTGCGGGGATGGTTTCCCAGAAGATGCGTTGAGAAGTGCCATTATGACACAGCTGCCAATGATAACACCAGCGATAAGAAAGTAAATTAATGCGTCCAGGTGCTTTATGAGGTTCAGGGGAGTTGAATCGAACAGAATGTCCATCTACTGAAGATGTCTTGCCTCAGGCTGCAGGCTAAGCTCAAATATGTCACCATTTTGTTGGCATATTTTGACTTTATTTCAAATTAATTAAGGTCTTGCTGAGCAGTTGCTGTTAAATAGATAAAAAAGAGCAATTTGTGTGAACATTTGGTTTTGTCTCCTGAGTTATAAAAAAAACCCAACAAGAGTCTTAATTTTCAAGAATTGCCAAAAGGCTTCTATGTAACTTCATTATAATTATGTGATGGTTATAGTTGTTTTCTTTTTCTATTGTTTTTCTTCTACTTATGCAATGCCTCTGCCCAGCTAACCCCAGGGCTCCATAATGCAAATATTTCTACAATATGAAGATGAAAAGTCCTTCCTTTTTATTTTTGTAAAAACCAATTGTTTGCCTCAAATTATAGATTGCAAATTAAAAAAAAGTCTTACTGAAACGTGTTTTCTCTCAGCCTCAGTTTTATAATTGCTTGAAATACATATTTTAAATCTTGCAAGATGCCCAAAGGTTTAAAGAATTAAGTCATCCTTTAATGGTTATAAGGCTTGCAATAAAGCTGTTACTGAACTTGTTCAGATATGTCCCAAAGCTATTGGAATCTTCCATTTCCTGTGTCATTAGCAGTGCATCGCTGGGTTTGTCTGAGTTGTGGCTTGTCTTAATCTACCAAAAACCTAAGGAATCTGAAGTAAAACTTTTCCTTTTATTTATTTGGTGGAAAAAGGAGACATGAATCGATCTACAATCAAGAAATAGTGATGAATCTAAATTAGTTTGGTTACTTTGGACAGTTTGCAGAGATTCTGTAAAGTTCTTGGACTCAAGTGTGTGTTGCTGAAACGAAAGATTTTTCTAAGGCTTAACTTGGACAACAGGAAATTAATTTTAAAAATTCTGTTGAAATGATCATAGATTCTTCCAATAATAGGATTGATGATTTCTCACAGCAAGTTTATGATCTCAAGGTGAGCCTGGAAATGTCACAAAAAGACCTGATGAGGAAACAATCAGGCCTCTTTAAATAAAAACAAAAGGAATATGAAGAGGGTGGAATAAGATGCCATTATGTTGTTAAATGCATCGAAGAGTCTGTAAATGAAAACGCATCAGAAAATGGAGTAGCTTTAAAGACACAAACTGTAGTTGGATCATGCCAGAGTTGACCTGGACAACCAGAAGACCAAAGACGTCATTGGATAAACCAAAGCCCATAGTTGTCCTATTTTACTGCTGAAAGACAAGCTTGCTTTATTTAGCAAAGCCAAAGATTTGAAGAGTTGTTGAATGTTCAAAAATGAGGACCTTCTGAAACTGCATAATAAAAGAAGAGATTTGCTTCCAGAAATTACAGCAGAGAGGCGTTATTGCACACTTACATGATAAGCTTATTATCCATTCACCAATTTAAAAATCCCCAAAAGAAACTAAGGGGGATATCTAAAAAAAATAAAATTGTATAATATATGTTTTTACATGATCGTACATAAATCTTTTATACAATTAGTTAATCTCTAGAAGGTGAGGCAGCATCTGAGGTAACTATTAGAACCTGAACTTTGTGTGGACTGTTTTTATCCTTTTTGGGATTTCAAAGTTAGCTAGATTTTTCTAGAATGTCCTTTCATCTCCGCAATAATGGAAAATTAGAAATATCTTGTCCAGGGCCGATGCTGAGAAACAGTTCCATGTATTATTTACTTGAGGGATGGACTATTGTAATTCTTTACTGTCAGGAAGCCCACAAACTGTGTTACAAGCCTTCAGCACATTTGTCCTACTTTAGCTTACTTTATTGGCTTCCTGTTAAATTCAGAATATAATTTAAATCCTCCTCCTCACATGTAAAGCCGTAAATAACCACAATTCATCTTATATCAGAGATCTGGTTGTACCTTATGTCCCTAAGGGAGCATTTAGCTCTTAATATGCAGGTCTACTAGTGATACCTAGTGGTTCATATTTTCAGTAGTTTAAAACTAAAGGAAAAATTGCTTTTTCGAACTAAGATTACAATCCTAAAAGTACTTGATTAATTAAAAAGTTGGCTGCTCACACAGCCCTTTAAAGCCAAGTCTATCATATAAGATGCGTGATATTTTGAAACCTCTTCATCATTAGTGGGAATTTTTTGGTCTTGAAAACCCTGACTTCCACAATCAGACACAAGTAGTGAACCGACAGTGTATAAAAGATTATACAGAAATGCTAATGTATCCAAATTTATGCAAATACATTATGTCATTTAACTTAAACAAAATTATTTTTTTTAATTTCATTTGTCAGAAAGTTCAATGACAACCCTAATAAAAAAAAAAAACAGTATAATAATCATACATATTTTATAGTCCAGGTTTCAAAGGGCAAAGCATTATGTGAAGTTCAATTAATAAAATACATGTTTAAATAAAAAAAAATCTAAATAAATGTAGCCCAAACGGAGACCGATTAAGTGTTTAAGGATCAAACACAAGTCATGGATTGCAGCTGGAGTGATGAAGAACACATGCATCCAGGACATGGGTGGACTACTTTCATTGTTTTTAATAACTAAATCACATATACAGTATCAGCATACCATTCCTTAGTTAAACATAAAAGGATTGCTGGGCCAGCAGAACTCCATTTCCACAGTTAGTGATAATTTGAAGTTTATAAAGTCTAAAATCAGCACTGACATCTACCAGGAAATTAGAGGATCATTTGCTGAAACACTTTATGCAGATCCAGGCTTAATTAACGCTGTGCTGGATTGGCCAGAATACTGGACAGATGTAAACCCTGTGGAGAGTATTTTGCCTCCATACCACTGTGCAAATTACACAGAAATTCACTGGCAAGGGCCTCAGCATACGAATTACTGATTGAGAAAACATAGCTTTTAGTGGGCTTTAAAGAAAAAAAAAAACACAACATTGTAATTGATCTGATGCAATACTCAAATTTTATTTTTTGTTGGCTGATTCTTCACTCATTTTCTCAAAGATCAGATTATAATCAATCTATGCAACTCAACGACTACTTCCATGTTTTTAGGTATATTTAGTCTATTTTCTCATCTCTCATCCTTTCTCACATATATCTACATTGCTACTTTTCCTTGTTTGTTGTAATGCGCATTTTATAAAAAAAAATATAATTTGAATTATGAAATAAAAGAACAAACTAAGTTTTTAGTAGAAAAATAAACAGAATGTAAAATCTTGAAAGTACAATAATGACCAGCAGGTGGCAGCAACACACCGTGCGTGTGTCTGCCCTATAGCTGACCCATGACGTATTGTGACGTAGCAATAATACGGAAGTGTTTCTCTTTTTTTTTTTACATTTGACAAAACAGCGACCGTTTTCCAGCGCATTCTATAAAATATTGGGTACAAAATGTCTCCAGTGTGGTAGCGTCTAAATCTAAAATAGATATTACTGTAAGGATTTTTTTTTTTGCTTATTTGAAGAGCTAACCAATAAAAAAAGCCGGTTAGCATCCCGGCTAATGTATGAGCTACCATTGTTATTTGGTTGAATACAAAGGAGCTAGATATATTTCCTGCAATATAGCTCATCTTTCTAATGAAGTACACGCCTTTTGCTTTATTTATCAGGTAGTTTGTATGTATGGCTTTTTGGCGTTTGTTAAAACTGGTTTCTCAGCTGAAAAAGTCACTATTAATTTCGACTCAACCAAACCAAACAGTGTTTCTGGCGTCTATCCAAGCTTTGTTGTAAGTAAATATCTTTTCTTATTCCATTTAAAACGTGTTGTTATATCAAAATTTGCTTTTACAGTTTTGTTATTTATTTTTAAATAGAATAACTGGATTGACAGACTTTGAACCGTTAAGGAGGGCAAAGGTTGAGACAAAAAATCAAGCAGCAACTGCATCTTTTTACAAAGGTACTTTGCTCGGACAATATTTGAACAGTTTGTCACAATCTAGGTTTCTTACAGTTTAATTTTTTTCTGTTAGGTTTGAATTTTTGTCTTCCCAGTGTTGGAAATGAAGCCATGAATCAAAACAAAGCAAAGACAATTATGGATGCGCGTCATAAAAGTGGAGCAGGCGGCTTACGCGGCATAAAAACAAAAGCTAACTTCAAAAAACAACAGCTGAAGTTTAAAAATAACCTTGATCAATGGTTGGTGAAGCCTTCAAAAAGTTCAAGCGCAACAGGAGAGAGTCCAGGCCAGAAGGATGTGGAAATGACAGATGATCTGGGGTCTCAAAACCCTTCAGCTGTTATTGTAAACTATGAAAATGCTGAGAAATCTGAAGTTTTTACAATGGATGAAGACACAGAGATACTAACACCACAAGACTTTAGTGAGGACAGTCCTTTAAAGCCAGATTCCAACGACACAGAAGAGATCGAACTGACACAGAAGCTCTCTCCCTATCAGGAGGAGTTAGACAAACAAGATGAAGCTGGATCTTCACACTCTATTAATCAGAGAACCAAAATTACAGATTTTTTTCCGGGGGGCTCGTCACAAACTTTCAACGTGAAAAATGGTTGCCGAGATACGACTTCAGAGGAGCAAGATCCCAAAAAGGAAGGTACACCTGCTGACGTTAAATGGTTGGGAACACCAATCGGCGAGCTGAGGAGGATGCCGGACTGTGGTGGGCCGCTTCGTCCACTGGAAGATGATCCTGACCAACACACCGTCATGATAAGGGTTGGAGAACTTACTTCTTTTATTCAACAAAAGGAGAAACGTTTAGAAATACATTTCAATTTCACAGCTCCAGTGCACTACAGACCCACACTATGATACTCCCACAGCCATGCTCAATAGAAAACAGTTTTAAGTTCACTTTGACTCATCAAAGAGATGCCAAACATATAAATGTTGACATTTAAATTGCTGAAACATCAGCAAATATTAGTCAGTATATGTTTAGATCCAGTATATGGATCTAATCTCTAACTTTTATCCTGTGTGGATTAGAGAAAATAGAAGCAAGTTAAAGTTTGTAGACCAAATTCCTGTTTTAAATTCATTTAAGATCATGTATCATGGCAGAATTCCTCCCTACATAAAGAACAGTTTAAATGTATCATTAAAAGCCCAGAATTAAAGTGAGGCTATGCCAATAAAAAGCATGTCGACTTCATATCAGCACAATGTAGGAAGCACTAAAACACTTTTCCTTGTTGCTCCCACTGATAGACAGACCTTCTTGGAAATCTTAACCCTCCCGTCCCAAACCCAGCTACATTTCTGGATACATGGGATGATGTCCATGTGAAGATGCCCTACTCACAGAGGAATCTATTTCCAATTGGTGATGAGGTAAAGCTGCTGTTTCTTGTCCTGCTTGCAGTGTCTAACCTGAACTTGCTTTTCTAACGCAATTTGTTCTTCCTCAGAACAAGAGTCGGTGGGATCTAATCAAACAAACTTTAAACAAAAAGTTTAAAAACGCTTCTGAGTTGAAGGCAAGTGGTGTTACATATTTTTTTTCCTTCTGCTTCAACAAAATAACTAGGATGGAGGTTTGTTTTCTTAGATGTATAAACCTAGAATGCAGCAGTTTGTCTTTATCCAAAATATGCTGTTGATGCAAAAATATTTAGGGGTAAGCAAATCAGAATCAATAAATCTGAGAATGAGGAATAGCATTTGCAGATGTTTTTACTAAGCTGTGCCACAAGATGGCGTTTTAGGGTTAGAAAAGAACAGCAGAAGGCTTATTAACACTAATGGTATGAATTCAAAAGGATTTCTAGCATTTAAATTGCAGTTAGTATTTGTTTCTCTTGAAGCATATTATAAATGTTTTATTTTTATTGTTTTACATGATTTTGTTACAGGATGCAGTGCTGAAATATTGTGCATCAAATGCCAAAAAATGGGATTTTACTGCATTGGACTTGTACTGCAACAAGGTAAAGTATATTTGCTATGATTATTACACTTTTACTTGGATTGGATATCAGCTCTGATATTGACTGATTAGCTGGATCAGATATCGGCAGATCCAATCCAGCACACTTTACATGGAACTGTAATTTTTATCTTTTTCCTGCTTATTTGTTAGTATGTAATATGAAGTACCTTTATATCTTTCCTAATAAGTTGCCGTTTTTAACTATGTTTAGTCAAGGCTAAAGCCCTTCACTCACGTGACGAGATATATGAGAATATACAATATATTAATTCATTCAACAGTTGAATCGGATCGTGTTGTATATATTAGCTGATACGCTCAGCCCAGGTATCGGATTGGATCGGTGCATCTCTAGTTATTTTTCCTTTCTCTTTATAAATGATTTCCATATATATATTTATAGGAAATATTGCGGCTTGACAAGATATTTATAGGTTGTATGTAATACAAAAATCTCTAAAATGCAAAGAAATTTAACTTGAGGACTAGAGATTTTCTTTGATTATCATAATTTATTCATATTTATCTAAAAACTGATTAATCTAAAAACCCTAGAACAGTGAGAGAATTCAATTTGATTGCCGCTGCTGAAAACGAGCTTGTTTGGACTGAAAGTGTACATTTTGAGGTGGGCCTAATGGTAGCATTTTCTCTGTGTGCCAGCTTGGACGATCTTGCTAAAGCTGGCCTGTCTAGAGCTGCTGTTATTGGAACAGATTGGTATCGGACAAAATTTTATTTCCAGGAAAATCATAAGCCCTGCAAAAGTATCCATACATTTTTTTTCCCCAAAATGTGTTAAAACTACAAATTAAATATGAATAAAATGCACTGTTTCTTTGTAAAGTGAAGGGAAAATGTTACACATCTCACAATCTGAAAAATGCATCGTGTATTTGTTTTCAGCCAACCTGCTCCTATAACCCTGAATAAAATCTAGAGCAACCAGATGCTTTCAGAAATCCCCTAATTAATTAGAATAGAGTAAACAACAATAGAATAGAAAATCCCTTTATTGTCACACAAATGTGGACATACTAGTGAAGAATTGAAATATAAATAAAATACTGTTCTGTAAAGTGTTTTAACGATATAAAACTGTTCACCCGGAGAATAAAATAACCAATACACAGCTATGGACATTTTTACAGTAATGGATATTTGAAAATAGCAGCAACATCAGAGACGTGCAAAATGACAGCAGCATGTTATTTAACCGGCTAAGGGAGAAACTGTGCAAAATCAGCATGAATGTAAGAACTTATTGAGGTTACTGGGAACAGAGTCTTCCAGCTGCTGGGAGGAAGGATCTGTGATAACGCTCACTGGTGCATTTAGGGAGCAGCAGTTTTTCACCTATTGTAATTGATTCTCAGATTTAGTTTTCATTATGAATACTTCAATACAGGGCAAAGAGGTTCATCGGAGAATATTAGGGACTCAGTTTAAAATGGAAAGGATATTACAACACTGTAAACTTATCCAGAGATGGTCCTGACAGGCCTTTCATGGAGAGCTTCAATCAGAGAGAAAGTCCCTGTCAACTCTGGAAGAGCTGCAGAGGCACACAGTTTAGGTTGGACCATCTTTTAAAAAGATGCGCTCTACAAATCTGGCCTCTATTCAACTTTATTAGACAGCAAGTAACAGTTCATATTGGGAGCTGCATGGTCAACACTCCAATACAATCCAGTTCAATGACACTGAATGATTTAAATACATGCACACACTTCTGAGTTGAACTAACTAACATATAACGCACTGGAATTCAGTTTCCATGTCAAATTTATTTTGTCTAAGAAAGTCACTGACTTTGCAGAAATTCCTCTTATTATATGCAATAATGGTGAAGTTATGAGATCTATTATATATTTGTAAGTTTAGAAGATATTCTGCTTATATGAGAGCAGTTGAAGTTTGTGATCTAAATGGAAGACTAACACAGCAGGTTATCCTGAACACACTGAGTTGCAGCTGTATTCATAGTCAAAGGTGGCCATAGGGAAGCATGTAAAGTCTCACAAAAAGCAGCAATGTGCAGAACTAGATCGAACTCCATAAAGACACCTACAAGATGTTGGTCTGATCTCATCAGGAATAAGATTATTATGATTCTCAGTGGCATATTGGTTCATTGTGCTTTCCTGAGAGTCCCCAGTTTCCTCAGCAGTGGTTTTTGGAGACTATCATCTGTCATCTGTCGCGTAAAAGTGGTCTGCGTCATCCTCCATAAAGATTCAGAGGGTGGCTGTATGTCTGGATCATTAAAGAGATGGAGTCATCCTGGCGGAGAATTTGTGTTGTTATACAGGTGAAATGACATTTCAGAAGCTTGTTAGATTATACCTGGAAAACCTTTTTGTTTTAAAAACATTTAATATAAGATGTGGAAAATAAATTATTTTTTGTTTCAGTATACCTCCTGTTTGAGTCATTTTTCAGCAGAGCAGTAATGGATGTAATCTAGGTGGAAAATCCTGCATTTGTTAAGGGTGAGCTCAAAGTAGTAATTGAATCTACAAAGAAAAGGTCACATTTGCTAACTTACTGAAAATAAAAATTGCATCCAGTAGTTTGATCCATTCAGCTTCTCTTTAATAACTAACAAATGAAATTCATGTCATAAATGATTTTATTAAGGGTATTCTATCAAAGTAAACGTCTGCACTGAGAGTGGCTGTTGCCACAGGCGTAGTTTTATGGTTAGAATCTGATTTAGATGTGATATGAACCAGAGAGGCTCAGTTTGTAGTGTGTTTTTAATGAATAAAGGCATAGTTTATATAATGACATTTAGGTGAAAGGATTGTGGCTGGTATAAGGGAGCCTTAATGGTCAAATGTTGGTTACTTTTTAGAGCTACATAATTGACCATGTTAAACCTTTTAAAGGAATGTTTATTGCTTGCTGTGAAAGAAAAAGAATATGCCATCCATCCAAAATGACTTAAATGTCACAATTCCTCTTATATGTTTAATACAGCTGCAAAAAATAATTAAAACAGCCAATTAGATATGGTTGTTTTAGAGGAATTTAGGTCTATAATTAGGTTGTGATCATTTCCTGCACAAGAATAACTAAACGATTTAACTACAAAGCATGTATCTTACTGCTCTCAAGCTATTGTGGCAGATTAAGGCAGAATGTTTTGAATGTAGTGTCAGAGAAAAATGCACATGAATGGCTTGGAGTGACGGGCCAGGCGACCTCATTGAATATTCATCTCAGCTGGTCTTCCTTATAAATAACAGAATGGCTGTTGACAGACAGCCTCGGTTTTGTTTAGGTCATTTCTCTCTTAGCAGCTCAACCAGTATTCTATGGATGCTTATGATTAAAAAAAAGTGGTTCATATTTGTCTAGAGCCATTAGAACAAGAGCTTTTTTTCTCTTCTTTGTTTATCCATTTCCTTCACCTTACAATTATGCTCTATTTCGCGTTGATCTATCGTATATCACAACAAAATGCATTAAAATTAATTTTCTAAATGAGATAAAAAGGGGAAAAGTTGAAGAAAATTCTTCGCAAACCATTATTTATCTTCCTAGATTGGGTCAATGGTCTAGTTTGACATGCAGACCTGGTATAAAGTCGTACAGACGGTTAACTCGGCTCATATGATGCTCTGCCTGCTGCTGATTTACAGAGCTCGCCTAATATTACCTCAGCTATATCTACTATCCCCATCCTGTCAACTGGTGCCATTTATTACACCCACAGGGGCCGTTTATGATGTCAGCTAGGTCATTACTTACAGCAGTGTTTAGCCAGACTTCTATTGCCATAATATAAATGTTCCAAGCTAAATCACCAGCCAGGCCTTCTTGTTCTGGACGCATACGGCCCTTTTTATTTCAAACCTTTGGTCATTTGCATCGCTTCCTGGAAGTTGTTTAATGAATTTGCTTAGCCGTGCAACTTCGATGAAATTGCTTTGTGATTGATAATTCTGACATTTCGGAGTCACCCCTGGTTTAATGCTAGTAATGTATGTTTTCTCTGAATGACTACTATTATGGATTGTTGGATTTTGAAAGCATCCTGCCCAATGTTCACATCTTCTTTTAAACAAATTAATAAAGAGATAAAACAGCTTTCATTTTTCAATTCTTTCTATGCAAGTGTTGCAACAGTTATATTTAAATGGGTTTATTGTTTTTCATGTTTAATTATCCTGTCTTCTAGCTTACATAGGCATCAGTCAAGTTTATTTCATATATCCTAAACTAATCAGTCTGAATGCATAATAGAGTCGCAACTGAAGTTTATGAAAAAAAAAATGCATAAGCAGATTTCTTGCTCTCTCTAAGGTCTTGGAGCCTGATGCTGTGGAACATCTGTTTGAAACTCTGCTGCCAAACATGGTTCAATTAGCACTGAGAGCATCTGAGCTCTGTACCAAGGTAACACCACTCACTAACCATTGGATTGACTTGCTGGTTTGAGGCGGATCATTCCATGAGATTGATCAAAGGTCCTCAGATGACAAATGATCTTATTAAGGGATTGTAAAGGGTTTGTATGTTGGGAGACATTTTATATACAGAACAAAAATGATGATTTAAAAACTGCTCTCTGTGATAACTTTGTGAAGTTGTTAGTCAAGTGATTATTTGGAAAAAACCTTCATAAAGTCATGATTAGCAGTGCATGTCATTGGTTAGTAAGTTTACTTCCATACTTCAAATTTAAAGTTAAAGCTCCAAAAAACTATATTTTATATATATATATTTATATATATATATATATATATATATATATATATATATGAATTCTCATTACTTGAAACCAACAAAAAAACCCAAATGTGATTTTTTTTTTTTTTTTTTTATTCTAATACATCCATCACGTTCTGTATTCCTATCCATTCCAAAGATGAAAATTATTACAGTTAAAATTCCAGAGCAATTAAGGTTTTTCTATCTCCATAAGTACAGGTGCCCATGTCTTTTGGGACAATTTATCTTTAAACTGTAATTTTGCCGTTATTTTTTCCATTCCCATCACTTCCTTAACTCTTTCCCACCAAAGGTCGGTGCTCGGGGGGGTTGTGGCTTTGTCCCACCTTAAACCATAATACTGTATAGTGATTGGTCATGCCCCTTTGGGTTGATTTCAAAATGTTGAAGCGGGAGTATTTGGGGGATGAGTGTGTTTGTGAACACATAAATACCACAAGAATTCAGCTTGCCTGCAAGCTGAATTCAACAGAGGAGAAAATATACAGGATTACATACAGTTCTTTTTACAGTATTGTGAAGATAAACCTTTCCAGGAGTTTAAACGAGATCCTTGGTCTGTAGCCGCAGTCTGAGCCGACATATACAGGCATGTCTGATGGGGTAGCTTTTCCATAGGGTTATCAGGATTCCTCTCCATACTGGAAGTGTTTGTTTTTTTTTCTTTTACATTGAATTCTGTAAATAACTTAGATTGCATTTTCTACAGGCAAACCATTGTTTATTATGAACACCTGTTGAAATTATCCACAGGTTATCACAGAGATAACGTCCTAACAAATTAATGAAAGAAGTGTAATCCATTTTCAAAGTTTCTTATCCTTCTCCAAAATCATAGTATCACAAATTTAATGAGGTGTTGCTTTAAAATTCTATTGAAAGCATATCTGGATTGAGAATTATCTTCTTGCTGTTCAATAAAAATGCATCTGCATTTCACAAAATCTTAGAATGTTTGTTGTCTAACAGTGCAAATGATTTTGTCCTTCTACAGTTGTACCTCTGTTTCTCCTCTAGCCTATCCCCCTGCTGAAAAGAGGCATGAATCACTCCATCACCATGTCTCAGGAGCAGGTGGCATGTCTTCTAGCAAACGCCTTCTTTTGTACCTTCCCTAGAAGAAACTCCAGAAAGACAGAGTACTACAACTACCCAGACATCAATTTTTTCAGGTAGTGTGTTCATGACACTTGTCATGTCTCTACTGTGTATGTTTTGTTCGCTGCACATTAAACCCTAAAACCTTTATCTGGTCTTATGTTCTGACACAAGCAGATGTCGTATTTGGCTACATGAAATAACTATTCATAGAATAATTTACTTATGGAATATTATATTTACTTTGATGCAATATGCTGACAGATTTGTCCCATATTTTGGGAAACATGGAATGCACGTGCAAAACACACAAAAGGACACCAGCTAACTTCAATTGAATGCTATTTTTAAAGAAAAGGTTTTGAAAAAAAGAACTCTTGACATCCCTCAGTGAGGATGTCCTTTAATTAGTCCTGGTGGTGCATTGTAAAATCTCCCTGCAGATCTTTGCTCAGTCGTGCTCCTGATATGTTGGAATCAAAATGCGATTAGCAAAATGGAAGAGAAAATTAGATTAAAACTGACTGTGATGGCTGTTTTTAACAAAGAAACACACATCTGGCTTCTGTAATAGAGACAGTGAAGGAGTTTACTGTGCAGAATAATCATATTTACATAAAGGTTTGAGAATAATCATGAAATATTAGTTAGAATTTTCTTCCCTCTTTCCTTTAATAAACTATATTATGATCTTATAATACTAAGTTATATGTCTAAAAGTAGAAACTTATATTAAAAGGCTGTAAGACCTAAAGCACAAGGCAGGAAGAGTTTTAAAAAAGTCTTCACATCAAACATCAACTCGGACATCAATGCAGTAGGTTTCATTGCTATTTTTATTTTATTTCATATTTTCATTCAGGTTTTCATGCTCTCAATTGTGAAGTTAAGAGGTTTCCAGATGCAACTTTTTAATTATCTCAGCTTTGGAAAGCTTGACCTGATACAAAGGCAGCACAAATCATGCAAAAAAGGTTTTATCAAGTGATGCTACCGGTACTTAAAAATAAAATAGTCCTAAGGGTTACAGAAATTTTAGATAGAAGCAGATAGAAGTGGACTGTTTCTATTAGCCTGCTTATATTACAATTTTAGATGCAGGCCAAGATATTCAGAGCCTCATTTTTTAGTCTAATTTTCAACCAATCTGATATAAGCATCAGCTCAGGGCATCTCTTTGCTGTTTGATGTTAGATATTTGTAATGCAAATACACTTCACCTCAGTAATATGTTAAACGGTCCTGTGTTGGACAGAAGGCAATCGTTCATGTTTTACTCTTAACACCAGGTCTTGTTCTCCTTCTGTCCATGCGATCTGAAACACAGGTGGAGATGTTCTGGGTTAAATATTCTCACTGTCCTCTAATTCAAGTCCATTCAGTGCATTTATTAGAGATAGACCAATATATCAGCTAGCGGATGTATGCGATTTTCTTGTAATGGGCCGATAAGTGCATGCCTCCTCTGATGCATTAGTGCAGGCATCACTAGTGGGACCGACTTTGGTGATACTTTGTCAAATCAGCTTTGCTAAAGCAGAGAAACCTCTAAAACCTGCAGGACAGCAGCCCTCAAGGACCGACCTTGGGGATTTGAACATTAGTGCATTCAGCAGCCATGCCTTGAGGTCACGTGGAGTGTCTGACACACCCTGCATTTGCTCTCCTTTATTAATGTTAATGTTTCTTTTTGTTTAAATTAAGACTTATGTAACTTGTGTTGTCATTGTGTCATTAGATTTTGATGTTGATTTGATCGACATCAAAATAATTTACATCTGCCTTAAATATACCTGCATCTGTCGATCTACTCCTGCAGGACATGTAGCAGTGGACATTTAGTTGCCTTGAGTTTTGAACTTCGCAGTATTTCCTCCTGAGCAACATCAACTAGAACAAAGAATGGTTTAACTCTGTCTCTGTCCACCTTAACCTCCAGTAATTTGATCATCAAAGGCAAAAGTACTGAGTTTGCTTCAGCCTGTTTTCTGAGTAGCTTCTGCTCTTCATCCTTTTGTGTCAGCTGGTCCAGTTTTTATTTTCCTTTTGCCAGTCTGTAATTGAGCTTTGGAAAGCTTGATCAGCGACTCGCACATGTAAACATGTCCTTGGCATATTTACACCTCACAACAGAAGTTAAGAAACTGGCAGATATACCAGGAAATACATGTATAGCGAGCTGGAAATAAAGATGAAGTTTGACCACCTGCTATAGAAGGAGGCTTTGAGTTGTCTGCTGTTTAAGAGATTAAACGTCAACCCAAAGTCTGCTGATGACATTCGAACCAGATTAAATGACAAGCAAAAAAGGGTTTAGGTCTCTAAATCTATTTTTATTATTGAAATGGAAAAAAGCGTGCTTTATTTTAGACCCCTTTATTCTGCTGCACTTTAAATAAAATCCAGTGCAGCCAGGATAAACTGAAATCTTAAAATCTGTTTGTTGGTGTTCTGACATGACGCACAGAAAAAATGTAGTCCTCTGACCTTGCTTATTGAGGTCATAAAACCATGATGTCGTATGACGGTAGGTCAGATTTTGATGCTTGGCCACGCCCACATATTTTGATGTTGAAAAGTTATTTTGATAACTTTTAATTCCCTATGCCAGGGGTCTTCAACGTTTTCCAGGCCAAGGGCCCCCAATAAAGATGGATCGGGGACCCCCTAATTATATATAAATATTGTATGAAATTGTGTTATATCAAACTGGTCCTATACTCACTCTATTACATATGGAGTAATGTAAAGAAAGTAATATCACCCTGGGATTATTTAAGTATTTCTGATTTAGATTCCTCGTTGATGGGACAGGTGTTGTGAATCAAACGGTGCCCAGCTTGAAAGAATGAATGTGTGCATTAATGACCGAAAGACATCTTCTGCCTCCATTTATCTGTTTAATTCAGTGTGTTAAATTCATATTAATGTGTATTTAAAGACATTTCAATTTGCACCGGGGGGAATATAATTTAAAAAAAATCTAATCAACCAAAACTTTCGCAACCCCCATGCAGCACCTCCGTGGACCCCCTGGGGTCGCGGACCCCCTGTTGAAGACCTCCGCCCTATGCCTCAAGTCCATGCAAAGTGAATTTGAAGCATGTAACCCAAAAGCTCTCGGAGCACTTCGCTGAGATACAACATGAGTCAAAATGGCATCTTTAATCCAAAATGGCCGACCTCATGTGGGGTTTAGACCATGGCTCCAAGAAACCTTTTCGTGTGTCCTGTTGGGTTTTACATGTGCACCAATTATCCACAATAAAAGTATTATGTTTTTGCTGATTTTTGGATTAATGTATTTATTTGTTTTTTTTTCATCTTTGAAGCTGGAAAGCCTGTATGCCATCACCCTAATATTTTGCTCTCAACACAGATTCTTTATTAGATTCAAGGCTCTTGCTGAGTCACTCCAAAACACTGATATAACTCTGTCTGAAATGAAATATTGTTAATATTAAAAGATTACTTTAGACCTAAATACACAAGAGGGAAATGGGCTTAACTGTGTGTAGATTTTATGTCTTTATTTCTCTAAGACTGTATTACAGTCAATGACTGAATAGCTGCTCTCCCTGTTGGTGAGCTCATGTCCGGTACATTTTCCTGAGGACCCTATAGATTGTTTCTTTGGGGCACTCTGACTAAAACGAACAAATAAAAAGCTGGAGCTGGCTTTGTTGAATATCTTTCCCAGTCCCTGAAAGGCTCTTAGTGCATCACGCTTTTGTCATTGCTTCATTTTCATCCCATGAAATGTATGTTGTTTTTTTTACTGAAGCATCCGATTCCTCCTTTTAGAGCCAGATTAAGAATGATATTGTGAGTTTAATGTTCAAAGTGCACTCAGATACATCCACCACAGCTTGCTGCCAGCAGTTTTATGTATCTGCTCGGACCATTTTTTTTTTTCCTCCTTGGGACACTGTTGCTTTAAAGGGACTTGGCTCTTCCTAATGTATCCCTGGAGACAGAGGTCCTTGGTCCCCTTTCTCTTCTTTAAGTGCAGGGACAGTGCAGGAGTGTTGCACTGTGATGGACAGCCTGGGGCATCTTTGTTCTCCTAACAGCAGAAAGGAGCTTCTATATAATCGGCTAGCGGCTGAAAAGGAGGCTGATTGAGAGATGAACTAATTCATATCAAAAGTTAAAGCATGACTGAACTCACGAGGCTAAAATGGAGGTCATCTCTCTACAGCGAGGTTTCTGCAGCGAATAGTTTTTGGTAGTCCAGGTTTTGACCTGTTAGCATTGATGGTTGTTTGCTATGCTGTTTATCAGCATAAACACTCCCTCAGCACTAAATTATGGTACAGCTGTTCAACAACTCAGCCAATCATGTGGGAGCAACTAATTTCATTTTGGCATCTAGACTGAAGATAATTTACTGATTTTCTAAGTGAGCTTCAGCACAGAAGAAAGATGATTTACTTTTCAGGGTGGAATAGTTGTGGCTAAAAACCATCTTTCGGTTTATTTTACTTAAGACTTAAATGCATTTATGATTTCGGATTACAATGAGCTTACTGATTTAAGATGACTGAAATGTAAGAGTTGCTGAAAGCTGAAATAGATGGATTATGGAGCATAAAGATAATAAATCTAGCTTTATAAAGATCTGTTTTGGAAAAATTAGGAAATTTTGACCTGGGGGAGAATGAAAAGTGTAGAAACCATAAAGAAAAAATAAAATAATAGTGATTTGCTTATTTCCTTGCAGGCTGTTTGAGGGATCTTCATCCAAGAAAATTGAGAAGCTGAAAACCCTTATGTGTTATTTTAAGAGTGTCACTGAACAAAGTAAGTGATTGGATTGAGTACTTTTTAAAACTGCCGTTACAGTGAAAAGAAAGAAAGAAACTATTTCTGATTTTTGTCTCTATGTTCTTCAGAGCCAACAGGACTGGTGACGTTCAGCCGTAAAAGATTGGATAAACCTCCCAACTGGAAAAGGTTGATCTTTTTTCCTTTTGAGATCAGCAGGAGCAAATATAGAGGAGCTTAAAGTGGAATAAGTGAAAACCGTGTTTGTTTTTCAGTTCGCAGACTTTGCTGACAAGGCTCCACATTACATGTGAGGGAACGATCGAGCAAGACGGTTATGGGATGCTTCAGGTAAGTAATACTAAATGAAGCATAATAAATCCTTTTATTTTTAATTATTCGCATTTGCACCAACTTCTAAACTCAAAGGAGACGTATATGCATGCAACTACTAGAAGTGTTTTCTCCTCTGTTGTTATTCACTATGCCATCTCATTCTGGAGTCTTCCACCCAGAATGCTTAGCTGGGCTAAAAAATGTCCTTAAAGGGAGCCGGTGACGCGTCAGAGGGAGTTAGTGCTGGGACTGAGGTCGAGGCCTCTGCGCCTCTCCGGCTCTCTCTGTTGGCCAAGTGGCCCGGACAGTCAGCACAGCCCCCTCCAATCTTCACCTTTTGTTTGCCTTCAGTCGCCACAGACTGACAGTTGATGTGCGCAAACAACCAGCTCCAGGGCTGGCTGTAGCTGCGAATGATGAATGCTTTGCCAGGGTGGGGCTGGGGGTTGAGGTCCTGACAGCTTGTCAAAGCAGACTTTGGAGTCTGGCTTGTTGTCCTAGAATACAGTGACCGCAATAGAGAGATTTGCTCCCACAAAATCTGCTCACCTTTCTCTTTGTGTTTGCATGTAATGATAGGATAGGTTGCGTCTTGGTCAGCTGTGGGTAAATGAGTGACTACTGGCAGACCTGAAAATTAAAACTATGCTTTTTTTAATTATTTTTTATATATAATTCAGAAAAAAGTGTATATTTAGTAGTTTGTCTCTTTAAGGAAATCTTCATTTGATATTCCTACTGGCAGCTTCAGGACTAAATGGAGCTCTCAGGGAGCGTTCTAAGCTCGTTTTGGCATCTTGGACAGACTGCCTGAGTAATGGCACCACCTCGGGCCAACCTGCCCAATAAACCTGTCATAGATTCTGTCAAAAATAAAACAGGAAGGGCAAACACAATTTCTTGACATGTCTTGCTCCCAAAGTTTGAGAAACTGTTTTTATCTTAGCTCATTTTCTACGTCAAAATCAAACCAACTCAAAAAATGAGCAGGGGCGGCAGGAGCCTTGACATTGTCTTTGTTTTATCTTGCTTTATTTTACAGGTGGATTTTGCCAACAAGTTTGTTGGAGGAGGAGTCATCAGTGCTGGACTTGTTCAGGAGGAAATCCGTTTTCTCATAAACCCCGAGCTCATCGCTTCTCGTCTCTTCACGGAAGCCCTGGATGATAATGAGTGTCTCATTATCACAGGTGGGTGACAATGGCAAAACTATCCCCCACCTTTTAAAGCAAACACAC